CTGGAAGGCATTTCAAAAATGCCCAACTAAAATCCATCATGTATCCTTTTTGTAGGAGCTTAGAAGGGAACCAGATAGAGGAGCTACCAGCGGGAGTCTTCAGTAACAACAACAAGCTGCAAAACTTGTGAGTAGGAAGACTAAAAGTTCATAGTCGACCTACATATTTTTACTGTAAAATTCTTCTCCAGACTACCTTTGTTGGGCATTTCAAAAATGCCCAACTAAAATCCATCATGCATCCTTTTGTAGGAGCTTAAGATGGAACCAGATAGAGAAGCTACCAGCGGGAGTCTTCAGCAACAACAACAAGTTGCTCAACTTGTGAGTAGGAAGACTAAAAGTTCATAGTCGACCTTCATATTTTGACAGTAATTTTGAGAAGTTACGCGGTGATATATCCATGGGTTCAGCTGCCGAACTATCAACTTCAAACCCAGTTTGGAAATTTTTAAAATTAATTTCAAAAAAATGTTTCGAAAAATTTTAAAAACAAATTTTTAAATACTAAACTAGTGAATAGTTTTCTACGAACAGTAGTTGTAAAACTTGTTTATTCTACGCCACGTTTCGTCTAAACGTTGGCTCCCAAATATTTTTCCAGAACTTCGCCTGTTTCTGTTCGTAAGTCCGGCTGAGCCTATATAGTCATTGGGCCCCATAATAGCCATAGTGTGACTACAAATACAAGCCTTTAGCGATCCAAAAAGCTGCAACATGCAGCAGTAAAGCAGTAGTCGGCTTACAAAAATCCCCAGATGAACTCAGATGAGTGCAAATAATTGATTATTGACTTCAAGAGAACCAACAACAGTTCGACGCCGTAACCGTCAACTCCAAGGAACTTGAACTTGTTGCCCAAACCGATACTGGGGGTAACCACGTCTGATAAACTTCAATGAAATTGTTAAGGGCCAATAAGCTCACGCATTTCTTGATCTTGCTGAAGCGTGAGAATGTTCCGGCTCATGATATCATGTGCTTTTATATATCTTAACTCACTGGGCTGGTGTCCAGAGAGTATTGTGCGCCCTTGTATCCCCATGCATTGCCTGCTTATCTAAGCGAAGACCTTAAGCGCAATCAGAAACGGGCGCCTTCTCATTATTTCTTCTGGCTTTCCACATCATTACAATCGAGCATCTTATAACATTAGAACTTTAAAATAAAGGCGCAAAAAACAGTGTTATAAAGATAAAGTTATATTAGATTCTCAGCCTACTCAGTTTCATAATGAAACTACAAGGAAAACGTTGAAAAATAATTTTGAATCTTATGCGAATGTTGTCGTAGAAACTTGCGTGGAAACCAGATAAAGAGGATACCAACTGAAGTCTTCAAAATCAACTCCGAGTTGGGCTTCCTGTAAGTAACCAGCAAAAATTAAATCTATTATTAGTTTGGTCTCGATTCACCCGCCATTTGCGAAGATGTCATTTACTGACTTTGTGAGAAAAGGCTTTTAAGCCAGATAGTTTTTGTTATCAAACTGGATGGCATTTCAAAGATGCCATAGTAAGATCCATCATGTATCCTTTTTGTAGGAGCTTAGAAGGGAACAAGATAGAGAAGCTACCAGCGGGAGTCTTCAGTAACAACAACAAGTTGCTCACCCTGTGAGTAGGAACACTAAAAGTTCATAGTCGACCTACATATTTTGACTGTAAAATCCTTCTCCAAACTCTAAACTCTTTGTAATTCTAAAATACTCAAATATTATCGAACAACAACAAGTTGCCTAATAATTTATTTCCTAATGAGTCAAGCCACAATGGTGTTGAAAGAGAAACCTTACTTTTTAGTTGACCACTGATCTAAAGTACCACAAGATATATATGTAAGCACATATACTACAGACCAGTTTACAGACTGATGTACAATTTCTCATTGAAAATTTCCGAAACAACGTAATTAATCCAACGCAAAATAACTGAAATATGATAACGAACTTGGTAAATTTGGTAGAAACTGCAAAGGAAACATTGAAAAATCATTTTAAATCTTATGTGAATGTTGTCGCAGAACCTTGTAGAACCTTATTATTTAGTTACTAATGAGTCAAGCCACAATCGTGTTGAGAGAGGAACCTTACGTTTTAAACAGGATGAAATGACTAAATTAAGTTTCCTTAAAGGTAACTTAAAGGTTAACATTAGAAGTATTTAAGGCATCTTTAGGTGACATACGAAAGTTCTGAAATGAATCTTTAATTGAACTTTCAGAAGTCAATTAAAGTCTCCTTATGAACCATTTCGTGAACACTTTAGGATCACATGAAAGTAAACCTAAATAACCATTTAATTGACTTTAAGAATCCTCCTAATTCTCGTAAACTCGTCTTTAATTGCCAAAACTTCTACTTGTAAAGGCAACTTAAAGGTTTCTTTAATCTTTTGTTTCCCTTTAAGTACTACTTAAAGTTGCAGGTTTTGTTGTAATTCATCTTTAGTTGTACTTTCAGGTCCTCTTAAATTTCAAGTTTTGTTAAAATTCATCATTTAGTGACCTTTAAGTGCCTCTAAAAGCTGTAGGTTTCACCTTAAATTGACTTTTGATTTGCTTAATCACACCCACATTTATATTATGATAACTTATAATATTTTGGGAAACTTCTAAATTGTTAGAAAAAGAGACATCACACATACAAGTAATTACAGAATGTTTGAAATTGCAGTGATGAAATAGTTTCGTTCAAAACTCACTTCCTCCCCTGAGATAGAGTAAACCCACAATAAAGCTGAGGATATCTCATTTGAGGCACATACATAATTAAAAAAGAGACATCCAAATGTTTGAATTACTAACTGTCATACTTTATTAAGATTGTTTCTCTTTCATTAATGTATAATTCATATAATCTCAGTCATCTATATAGAATAGAATAGAATCTTTATCACTATAAAAATATCAGGACTACAGAATATAACTAGCTGTAGCAACACACTACACAAAAAGCTATTAATTCACAAATTTCACTCTCAAATCCAGCCACTAAGAAATGCAATTTGAACTGATACTAACAATAAAAAATAAGTTCAACCTATCAATCTAAAAAATCAGTATATTTTTCTAAATCAATTTAAATTTGTGATAGCTTTCAATTATTTGCCGACCTGTACATCAATATGGAAAAAAGTATCTCATATGGAGGAAATTAAATACAAAATTGAAGAATTCACAATTACTTACTTTAGATAATGAGACCATTAAAATTGCTAATTAACATATTCAATGAAAAAGAAGTCTCATGCAGGCATGTAAAAGACCTTCATTCTAGACATGGCTGATTTATACTTTTTTCAACAATCAATTTGTCACCTTAAATTGATAAAACAATTTTTTTTACTGCCTTATTGCCCACCCTGGAAAATTTTCAGTTGGTGGGCATCTCAGGGAAGGTTGCCCATCAACTCTGGGTAGGATTCTCTCCTTAGCTCTTGAAGTGAGTTTTTTCTTATAGGCCTTATCAAGTTTTTTTTTTATTTTTTTCATTCTTCTACTCTCCCATTGAAGGCGATGGACAGAGTATTTTGTTAATTTTGAGTTATTTATATTATCATCCTCGTAACAGCTTTCTTCACTGCTCATCGCCTCCATCACAAGAACCTCCGCCACTCTCCCCTTTTCATGCTGGTCAGCCCAGTTGACCAGCTCCATGGCTGTAGTTCGTCTCATTAACTTCTGAAAAAACAAAAATATACAACAAGCATGAGAAGGGTATTATAAGACCTCAAATGGAAAATATGATCCAAATTACTAATTTCTCTTGATATGCATGTGCACACAGTGTAAGAATGGAATTCCTAAGCATGTTATACTATAGAGTCTCCTTGTCCTTTATTTTTCATCAAATGGTCCATACAAGCTATCATTGATCTCAAATCACATCTTTATATTTTTCATTCTTTTCCTCAACTACAGATCCATCTTTAAAATAATATTATACAATTACCAAATTAACTTTACAAAGATTTTCTTTGTAAGGAAGGCTCTAGATACAGACTAGAATACATAATTCATTTAACAATTGCTCTCATAGGCACAAAACAATTTTGACAGGACACAGTCCCTTAAAAGTGTCTATATGCTAAGCCATCCAATTTTGAAGTGGCAAAAAAAATGCATTCAGTGGGAAACAGCAGGGTATATGAAAATAAAATGTTAAAATAGTATCCCAATAAATACCTCTCTTTGGCGACCACTCTTTCTTGTTTTTTGTTTATGTGCCTCATAGCGATTACTGCTCTTCAGCTTATGTGTTTCTAGGCACGTTTTAAAATATCTTTATAAAGCAGCTGTTCAAAGAAATAATTATCAAAATGCCATGAGAAGTTGATTATAAAAAGACTCCCATATAAATAAATGACAATGTTCAAATTTATAATCATTTATGGCTGGCCGCATAGGAATATTTGCCAAGTTATATAAATTTGCAGTATGTCCTTGGTGATTCATTGCTAAGGTGTGAAGTAAGCTTTGTTGAGGATTTACACTGAATTTAATGTTTCAGAGACAAGAAATCAACCTGAAAGTTCTAGTTTGCAACATATTTAAATTTCTGCAACATTTGAGAAAGTTATTATGTAAATTAGGAAAAAATTAAAAATATACCCTTTCTCTTGTCCCAAATTTGAAACATATAATGAGGGTGCTCATTAGAAGTTGCATGATATCTAACTGTGTTACTGAATGCTAGTTCTATGATGAAATTTTTGTTGAGGGAAAAGTGGTTAAAGACACTAACTGATGGTACAGACTAAAAGCAGGGGTATCTTTAAGGACTGGGCTCTAGACAAATTGACCAACTGTGAGCGCGATTTTGTCTGGATGTTTTTAAGCCAAGGCCTTCAGTAAAACTCAACTTGTTATAAAAGAGATATACATCAATACGCTTAAGTGCCAAATTCTTATGCCCACCACAAAATCATAATGCCCACCACAAAATCATAATGACACCCCAATGAAAGTGAAATGCATGTGCTATGATTATTGATAGCTACCTTCAATGATATCCTTTGTCCAGGGACACTTTTCAGGTCCTCCCTGTTGATGTACAACCTGCTCTACTGTGCGCTCAAAAATTCCATAGTTGTTATCAGAATTTACTCTGAGACAAGAACAAACACCGTGATTAAGCCACGTATTCTGTTTTAACAGTATTAACACTTAGACAAAAGCAACAACAATAAGGTATTCACATAACATCTCAATATTTCTAGCAGCAGCTTAGACTCTGATTTCACGGTTTAATCAATATAAAGTAAAATATCTTTGAATATAATAACATGTTACTCACTCTTCGTCAAGATAAAATCCACCAAAGTCGTCTTTTTTTAAAAGAAGTTTATATATCCTTCTCACGGCTCTCTAAAAGATTGAAATAATTTCAACAATCAATTTGTCACCTTTCCCCTATTTCTACTTCCACTCTTTTTACACAAGTACAATTAACCTTACCCATCTGTGTGATTAAAACAGGGAAAGTCAAAAGGGTTCAAGAGAAAAGATAATAACATGAATTTTCGTACTGGATTATTCTCGTTGAAAGAACAGGGAGGAAAAAACCTTTCTGGTAGACCTGTTTATGGTAAAGGGGATTATCAAGTAAATGTAACCACACATAATTATGCCAAATGATTACCGCCTAAATAATTGAGTTATGCATATAATTTGCGCGCCAAACACGTACTCAACATAAAAGCAAATCTTCCACGAAACAGAACTGAATTCAGCAAATCATGAACATATATATGCTCATCAGTTAAGTTTTTCTACTCACTCGACAAGCTGGTGGAACTACTATCGTCCTTCGCTTCTGTCTATTTTGGCGCCGACGGACTTTGGCTCCATTATCACCAGTTTCAAGACGGTTCTCAATCCGCTGAAGAGCCTCTAAGTTTGATTTGTTGCTGCACTCTTGCTGCTGCCGCAGCTTTTCATTTTCGCTCGCCAGAGCCCGGTTGCTGCGGATCAATTCCTCCAGCAGTACGATGCATTCTTCGGACATGTTACTATTTCTAATTGCCGCTGGAACCGCATTATCATCTTGATTTTGTCCACGATCGTTTACTCGTCTTTCTGCCATTTCCTTCGCTTACTTTCCCTAACCCTGAATTAACTGTAAAATAAACAGACAACAATCGCTTCGTTCGGATGCTTTGTTAACAGAGTCGTCAACGGAATTGAGATTCAAAAAAGCGCGCGATTATCCTATACCAAACCTGGAAGGACCTCCTGTTGATATTGTGCCTCGTTGTGATACACACTGTACCGAGTGTACTGGGCCTAGCTAACGCTGGCGAGTACGAATGAAGACTCAAGTGTAATTGGAAGCAAGGAAACACGGAGGCCTTTTGTGGCGGGAAAACTTCTACTACACGTTCGATCTTCACTTGTTCAAGCAAACAGCTTTGTACCGATACCTAAATTTCATCAAGGTAAGTTGTTCATATATCTGAAAATCTAGCCGTGTGAAGGTAAAGGATATCTTGTAACAAAGGAAATTTATCTAAGCGGCAAGTCACGGCATCGACGTTAATTAATTCGATGATATTTCTTGTGCAAGAAAGTGATTTTGTTGTGTAATGATATGTGATCGACGCTTTATACAATTGTGAATTGTTTTCTTTTAAGTGTGATCAGAACAATTACGATAGCAAGCTTGTGATAAAAAAAGCTTGTATGTATGGCATGCAAACAGAACTCAGTCGAGAACAAATAAGTAGGGGCAGGGGTGGGAGGTAATATACTTTTTTGAAATAGCGGGTTACTTTTCAACAGTGGAGGATATATACATTTTTATTTTGACTAGAAAGGAATGAATAACAAGATAAGCTCAATTTAATACAGTCAAATCAATAACAATACAACCAATACTGTAGAATTTTTCTTTCGTGGGAGGAGAGAGGAGTGGGCTTATTAGGGTAAAGACATTTTAGTCAGGAGGCCTTGATAGATATGGGGTACCTAAAGAGCAGTTGTGGCATTGAGCTCGCATGAATACTGGAGTATGGTCATTAAAAACCTCATGTCAGTGCCATTTAAGGAATGTAAGCTTCATTCCTTGATTGTATTTTGAATTTAAAACTTTTAAGTAATCATACATGATACTTGTTATGAACATAAACATCAAGGACACTTTTGAAAGTTTGGCAATGGGAAAAATTTGCATTGCAATTAGGGATTAAAGTATGTCTTAATTCTTAACTGATTGTCATCTCCCTAATAATAGCTGGTCTGGTTGACCATTTTTTTAGGTTGTGATGAGTAATATCAATCAAATATGCTGAATCTGCCTGGTGTTGCAAAATGGTGACTAGTTTCAGAGTTTCAGGCAACATTGTTTTGGGGGGGGGGGGAGGTGGGACTTGCAAGAAACTTATTAAGGAGTTTATTTCAAGATTTAATTTTTACTTTGTTAAGTGTAAGGTTGTCAACCACCAAGTAAGGGGAGAGCAGGGTGCTGAGTACTTTGGCCATGAGTTTTAGCTTCTTGAATGTCAGGTTTTTTCCAAATTGTGGAAATTCCATACAAGTTGCAGATTACAAGTGAGAGGTTTTTAGTCATCTTAATGCTCCTGGATCATTGTGAGTGACCACATTATTTTTACTAAGCATTTTTTGGCTTTCTGATAAACATTTACTCAGTCCAAAGTAAAATAAGATATGCTTAAGGATATATAAAGAATATAGAATATCAATGCTTGGTTCAGGCTCCAGAGACAAGTGTCAAAAAAATTTTTTGACAAATTATACATAAGTAGACAAGACAGGCTTTACACACAATTTTCATGCATTTGAATGTATGGCTTCTAAACTGAAAGTAGGTTTGAGTATGTTAGGTTTTTCAAAATGTGGAATCTTTCTGCAAGGTTTGGGTTGTGAGTGACAGAGTTTTAGTCAGATCTTAATGCTCCTGGATCATTACAAGTGACCACATTTCTGTTACATTTACATTTTTTAACTTTGTGATATTGTTGTTTCCTTTGACAGTGGGTATAGACATGACAAAATCTTCCAATAACATAGGCTCTCATCACTTGGTACAGTCCCAAACTGAACAACTGTTCATATGTAGACTAGTCAGTTGTTACCACAATTTTCTTGTGCTACAATTGTTGAAAGTAGGTTTCAGCCTGTCAGGTCTTTTTCAAAATATGTAATCTTAATGCATGGTACAGCTTACGAGTGACTGCTTTTTGGTCACTGGGCAAAACCAACTGTTTTGTACATGTATTTTTGTGCTGGCTTTTCTTCCCTCTGCATTTATTTCATTACCCAAAGTAAGGGAGGGGGGCCCTCCCCTAGATCTGCCACTGGGTTATAAGCACACGTCATTTACTTCAAGCACTCTTCTTTTTCAGCTTGAGGATCATGTTTCAGAAGAAGACATTTCACTTCCAATGGACAAGTTGGATCACAGAGAGCTAATGGTATCTTGTGTAGGATAGTGAAAGAAAAAACATTAGAATTTGAGTCCCTTGTGAGGATTCAA